ACTGGTGTGAGATGGTATCTAATTGTGGTTTTGATTTGCATTTCTCTGATAGCTAGTGACGATGAGCATTTTTTCATGTGTCTGTTGGCTGCATAAATGTCTTTTTTTGAGAAGTATCTGTTCATATCCTTCATCTACTTTGATGGGGTTGTTTGTTTTTTTCCTGTAAGTTTGTTTGAGTTCTTTGTAGATTCTGGATATTAGCCGTTTGTCAGATAAATAGATTGCAAAAATTTTCTTCCATTCTGTAGGTTGCCTGTTCACTCTGATGGTAGTTTCTTTTGCTGTGCAGAAGCTCTTTAGTTTAATTAGATCCCATTTGTTAATTTTGTCTTTTGTTGCCATTGCTTTTGGTGTTTTAGACATGAAGTCCTTGCCCATGCCTATGTCCTGAATGGTATTACCTAGGTTTTCTTCTAGGGTTTTTATGGTTTTAGGTCTGACATTTAAGTCTTTAATCCATCTTGAATTAATTTTTGTACAAGGTGTAAGGAAGGGATCCAGTTTCAGCTTTCTACGTATGGCTAGCCAATTTTCCCAGCACCATTTTTTAAATAAGGAATCCTTTCCCCATTTCTGGTTTTTGTCAGGTTTTTCAAAGATCAGATGGTTGTTGATACGTGATATTATTTCTGAGGGCTCTGTTCTGTTCCATTGGTCTATATATCTCTTTTGGTACCAGTACCATGCTGTTTTGGTTACTGTAGCCTTGTAGTATAGTTAGAAGTCAGGTAGCATGATGCCTCCAGCTTTGTTCTTTTTGCTTACGATTGTCTTGGCAATGTGGGCTCTTTTATGGTTCCATATGAACTTTAAAGCAGTTTTTTCCAATTCTGTGAAGAAAGTCATTGGTAGCTTGTTGGGGATGGCATTGAATCTATCAGTTATCTTGGGCAGTATGGCCATTTTCATGATATTGATTCTTCCTATCCATGAGCATGGAATGTTCTTCCATTTGTTTGTGTCCTCTGTTATTTCATTGAGCAGTGGCTTGTAGTTCTCCTTGAAAAGGTCCTTCACATCCCTTGTAAGTTGGATTCCTAGGTATTTTATTGTCTTTGAAGCAATTGTGAATGGGAGTTCACTCATGATTTAGCTCTCTGTTTGTCTCTTATTGGTGCAGAAGAATGCTTGTGATTTCTGCACATTGATTTTATATCCTGAGAGTTTGCTGAAGTTGTTTATCAGCTTAAGGAGATTTTGGGCTGAGACGTTGGGGTTTTCTAAATATACAATCATGTTATCTGCAAACAGATACAATTTGACTTCCTCTTTTCTTAATTGAATACCGTTTATTTCTTTCTCCTCCCTGATTGCCCTGACCAGAACTTCCAACACTATGTTGAATAGGAGTTGTGAGAGAGGGCATCCCTGTCTTGTGCCAGATTTCAAAGGGAATTCTTCCAGTTTTTGCCCATTCAGTATCATATTGGCTGTGGCTTCCAATCAACAGAAAAAGAGAGAATCCTCCCTAACTCATTTTATGAGGACAGCATCATCCTGATACCAAAGCCTGGCAGAGATACAATAAAAAAAGAGAATTTTAGACCAATATCCCTGATGAACATTGATGTGAATATCCTCAATAAGATACTGGCAAACTGAATCCAGCAGCACATCAAAAAACTTATCCACCACAATCAAGTGGGCTTCATACCTGGGATAAAAGACTGGTTCAACATATGCAAATCAATAAATGTAATCCAGCATAAACAGAACCAAAGACAGAACCACATGATTATCTCAACAGATGCAGAAAAGGCCTATGACGAAATTCAACAGCCCTTCATGCTAAAAACTCTCAATAAATTAGATACTGATGGGATGTATCTCTGAGTTCCATGTCTTCTAAAGAGTCATTGATCCTGAGGATGGCCTTGGGGTCTCTTGATCCCACTTTGCTGTCAAAATGGGATTCACTAGAATGTCTCTGAATCATTGAAACATGTCAAAAGCATGCTCAGAAAAGGAAGGATGAGTGGTGCTTATAAGGTGTTCTTATTGTGCCCCGACTGAATAGTGTCTTAGTCTTCTTGAACTATAGCCCTTAGATAACATTGAATGAGATTCTTATTACAAGCATCAAAGCTATCTGAAATAGATCTATCCAGTTTTGAAAGTATCAGATTTGACCTGATGTGAAATATCAGATATTGAAAGCTCTAAAATTGTCTTCATTTCTTTACAGATCTGGATGAATCACTCTATAAAGCACAGAGAAAAATTCTTTGATACAGTTTTATAGAGACTGTGATACATGAAGTTACAGATTTGTGTGAGGTCATAGATTTGTCTGAGTCACTGCATAAAGCACAGAAAAAAAAAATTCCATCTTTGGCCCAGTTTCACAGAGACTGTAAGACATGAGTTCGAGAGTACACCGTACCAGGAAAATTTCTTCTCATAGCTTTTATTGTATTGTATTGTATTGTATTGTATTTTATATTATTTTTTGAGACAGAGCCTCGCTCTGTCACCCAGGTTCTGTTGCCCAGGCTGGAGTGCAATGGCACAATCTTGGCTCACAGCAACCTCTGTCTCCCAGGTTCAAATGATTCTCCTGCCTCAGCCTCCTGTGTAGCTGGGATTACAGGCATGTGCCACCACACTTGGTTAATTTTTGTATTTTTAGTAGAGACAGGGTTTCATCATGTTGGCCAGGCTGGTCTCAAACTCCTGATCTCAAGGGATCTACTTGCCTCAGCCTCCCAAGTTGCTGAGATTATAGGTGTGAGTCACTGCACCTGGCCTCATAGCCTTTAAATCACCTCAGAGACCTTAACCTGGTGTCGAGAATTCAAACAACTTATTATCACTGATCTCTGGGAAGTTCATGAGATTTTGTCAATTGAAAATAATCATTCATGCATCATCCTATTGTTTTTATAAAAGAAGCTTCTTTAGCACATCCTGTGTCTGAACATACTCCCAAGGGGATGGACAGAAAAATAAGTAAGGTATCTGTCTTCAAGCAAACCTTACCTTTTAATTTGAAACAAATACTATATTGCAATAAGTTCATGTGGGCCAAGACTATATTTATAACCTGGAGGCCCTAACTTCCTATTTTAACAGGTATTTTATGATGACTTTCCATGATCTGGGTACCATGGGCAACTTGGATCCAGATTCCAAGGGTCCTCGAAATATTTGAGTGTTTGTATTTCCCTAGTATATGGGTATCCAGTGAATGGCTCCAGAGGTTTCCTAGGGGGAGAACTTGGGAAATCATTATCATTTATTTGGGTCCTGGAGTTGCAGTGTCCTTTTCCTGGGGTACTGCCCTCCACTCCAGCTGAGTTCAGGGTCTGAAATTAGCTCAGATCAAGGCTATGGATGTGACACTTTATCGGGGCTACCTCTCAGCCTCCTGGTAGACAGCATTTATTTCACTTGATTGTTTTCTCTCCTTTCCGTTTAACCCTATGGCTGGTCCACTGTATTGGCCATCTACAGAATTATGTCATTCATTCAGGCCTAGCTGTCTGCCACTCATTACTATAACTGAATCTTCTTAGATTCTAACAATGAAGGGTCAACACCAGGTCTCTATGTGTCTGGGTCTATCATCCCCCATCAGGGGGTTCGGTTCTGGAAAGGCACATTGTCCTTTCTATCTGAGGCTACTGCAAAGAGACCACTACTGACAAGGTTGGCAGGATCCCTGTTATCAGTGCTTAATCTTAATGTTTGGTAATTTATGCTTCTAACACCTTAAAACTTGAATTCAGAGAAAGGAAGTAGAGGCTACTATAGCTGAGATTTCAAAGGCCACAGAAAAGTGTATGCCTTAGTCTCAAAACAAATAGAAGCAATTGGAAAACCAGGCCAAAAGGAAAACAAGAATAGGATTCAATTTTTTTGCATTCTAGTACTCAGATCTTAGTCTTAGACCCCTCATTGGGCTGGCTGATAGAATTCCTAGAAGCAACAAGCAATTTCATCATCTGATAGCCAATTTCACAATTTTTTTATTGTTATCATTATTAGCATTGTCTCTTACATTTTCTTATTTATTTCTGAATAGGTAAAATAAGATTTCCTTACAAAATTCAAGAGTTTAAAATGAAGAGTATGTGGTCCTTCAACCTCTACATTCACCTGGTTCTTCCCAGAAGGAGCTAATAATAATAGATTTTCATTAATCTTTCCAGAGATATATTTGCATGCTTGTATATAATAATTGCATTTTTTCATTGGTGATAAGGTAATCTACATTGCTTTACAACTTGTTTTTTTGTTTGTTTTTTCATTTTACAATATCTCTTCAAGACCATTCTTTACTGGTACAAATGGAGCTTCACTGTCAATTTGTTTACTGGCTATATAGTAGTCCAGTACATGCACATACAAAAATTTATCTTACCAATCTTATGTGAAGGACATTCAAGTACATTCCAATATTTTGCCATTAAAAGCAATGGCCCAGTGGACCTCTGGTATGTAAATGATTTTTCAAAATTATATTTCCTAAAAGTGAACATAGTTTTTCAAAGTGTGTATGGATCTGTTCTATCTCATGTGGGCCAGGCACTGATATCCTCTAACAAGCACCTTTTATGTTTAAAACTTTGCTAAATGAGGGCCGGTTGTGGTGGCTCATGCCTGTAATCCCAGCACTTTGGGAGGCTGAGGCGGGTGGATCATTTGAGGTCAAGAGTTCGAGATCAGCCTGGCCAACACGGTGAAATCCCGTCTCTACTAAAAATACAAAAATTAACTCGGTGTGGTGGTGTGCACCTATAATCCCAGCTACTAGGGAGGCTGAAGCAGGAGAATTTCTTGAACCCAGAAGGCAGAGGATGCAGTGAGCTGAGATTGCACCACTGTACTCCAGCCTGGGCGACAGAGTAAGACTCTCTGAAAAAAAAAAAAAAGAAAAAAAAAAAAAAAAAAAAAAAAACTTTGCTGAATGAAAATGAAAAACATACAGATCAGGATCAAAAATAGTGCAAAGCATATATGTATGATCTATAATATCCTTAATAGAGGAACTCATGCTATTTAAAGAGTGAGCTCACACCTTTGACAACCTGACCAATTAATTTAGCAGGACCAGACAATATTGAAGTTAGCTCATTGCCAAGTTTGTCCAAGGTTTGTGCAATCCAGGGAGTATCATCATTTTTTGTAGTATCAATCATATGTTTTAGTTGATTTATCTCTGCATTCATCTCCTCACATTTCTTCTTAAATCCTTCATCAAGCAAATCTTTCTGGACCTAAAGAAAATGTAGGAAGGAAAGTAAATTTTTAAAAATCCCTATTCTCTTAAGACTTACATTTTGTATTTAAGACCTGTGTGAAACTTCCTTTATTTTACTCCTAAAAACATTTTATGAATGATTAGAGGAGAATTTGGACTTAGACATTGTGAGGAAGCATAGTTTACAACTTTACAAATATTCACCCACATTATGGTTTTGCTATGGTGCTAACCCAGGTATGAGGACAAATTCTACATGTTCCTGCCCAAAAGATGTCAGTTGGGAGGTAGCCATTGGTCTGATTGCATAAATTCTCAGTCCCAATTGGGCAGCATGGTCACCCATATTGTAGGAATGAAAGGAACTTATAAGCTGATGCAGAAATCCCTTATGAGAGAACTTTCAGATGGACAACGCAAGAATTCTCCCTACACTGTGTGCTAATTTGGGCAGGCTACCCACACAGGGTAACAACTGCAGCAAGTTTCCCTTTCCTGTCCTTTTAAGTCCGGAAATTTCTGAGAGTTGTATGTCAGCATAGATCCACCTCAGGGTGTTTGGGTGGTAGTAGAGCTCCTGGTAATATGTGCTTGGTGAAGGAAACCAGTTGCCGTTCACATCAAATACACTGTGTGGAATGTATGTTTAACCTCTTAAGATTACTTTTAAAATCTCCCCAAACAGCAGCTCCAACCATATTTATATTCCCCAAGGTCTTGTAGGGATCATAGTCAACCTCACCTCTCCAGAATCTAAGTATAGAGAATATAGAGAAAAATTCCAAGTCTTACTGAAACAATAAAACACACACACACGCACACACAGAGAGAGAGAGAGAGAGAGAGAGAGAGAGAGAAGGATTCAGGGCTTTTAGTGACTCCCAAGCAGCAAATGGTGATGTGCTTCCTTCCAAGATGCTGCTGTAACCTTCACCAGCCCTTCCTGAGGTACCTGGGCAAGGACCGTCTGGCCTGCTGAGGCCAAGGGCAGACTTACCTTCAGCTTGTGCTCCAGCATCATATTCTGCTCTCTCAGTAGGTGTTCTCTCTCCGTCTGCAGCTTCTCCTTCAGCTGGGCTATGTTTTCCTTGAGACTCTTCTCTTGAGCCTCCATCTGTTGCTGCTGCTCCTGTAATTTCTGTTTTAAAAGTTCCTGTTCCTTCTCAGCTGCCTCCTTCTTGGCCCGATCCACTGCTCCATGAAGGTATTAGAAAGAGAAGAAAATAATAGGTGAAGATTCATCTCCACTTTTCTGAGCTCAGAGACTAAACCAAATCTGAAAGGCAGGGTGAGAAATCACAGAATTTACCCAGGTCCACGCCATTGAGCGCACATTTGAGAATGTGATGGGAAAGGCTCTGCCTGTCTGGCTGAGGTACAATCATAGCTCCCCTTGTTATTTTCAGATTTAGCAGAGTGTGTGCTCCACACAAGAGGAAATTCTTCATTTTGGATCTGTTAGAGGGCATTGTATAAACATAGCCCTCCTGCTGTCAGCTGAGCCCTGCCCCATACCTGCTATTGCCTTCTCTCTATCAGTGAGGGCTTTATCCGACTGCAAGATGGATTTCTCTATCACCACCTGTGACTCCAGGAACCTCTGGAAGACCTCTTTTGCCTATGGAAGCAAGAAAAAGCACTTAGATTTCTTTGAAAATCGATGTTCTGGGCATTAGTGTTGCAAAAACAATTATGGTCTTGTAACTTTTGCTTGATGCCTAAAATTCTAAAGTGGCCCCCTACAAAGTGTGCAGGCTCTTTAGTGTGACCGGAGTCCCTCCTCAACTCCTGCTTCCTGTCTGCCTCCCGTGCCTCTCCCACGGCTATAGTATCTCCCTGTACCTGCTTTGGGTTCTGGCCAGGCAGAACTATGTGTACAGGTGTACAAACTCCCAATCTCTGATGCTTATATATGGTTGTCTTCCAGTATGCAATGCTGCCTCTAATCTATGCTCTTGCTTTCTCCTGCCACTTGCTGGCTACAACTTTAGGCAAGTTATATAATCATCCTTGGGTACTAAATTCAGATCTGTAAAATTTCCAAAATAAGGGTGCTTCTTAAAGTCATTAGGAAGATGAAATTAAAATGTCTAGGGAAGAGTTTAACAGTACACTGTAGGTAATAACAGCTCATTGTGAGTTAGTTGTATTACCATCACCTAGGTGGTGGTAATAAACACCAGGTAGGTAGCCCATTTCCCACAGGTCCATAAATATCATTACTCTGTATGCAATTGTCTATTTATTTCATACTCTCTCATTTTTATCAGCTTTGAATGCAAAGATTCTACTTTAACCACACAAATCACCAACTCTTGGCACATGGCTAATTTTCGTTCTGTCTCTCCTGGATTTCTGAATACTATATTCTTTGCTTGGGGATAAAAATTTTTATTCTAGGAAATAAGTGATAAATAGTGGACATTGAAAGCTAAGGCGTTATGCTATCCCTCTGCCCTCTTATTACCCACAGCTGGTGCCGAAGACTCCATTTACTCTACCCTATAAACTTCCCCATGTTCCCCTTATTCCTCACCTTTACTCCTTTCCTGGGGACTTGCCAATAGTCTTGTTCAATCTTTTCCTTTGTTTCCATGTAGAGCTTGTGCCCTCCAGGAACAGAGAAACTTCCTGCTGAGATACTTTCCATTAGGCCCTTTGAGAGCTCATTGAGTTTAGCCTGGCAGTATTGAACAGAGGACTCTTCATTCTGCAGCAAGAAATCCCCCTTCTTATTCATTGTGATTTCCTGCAAGGGAGATGTAGAGAGATGTCACCAGAAGAAACATATGGAGGAGATGAAATTCTAAAGAATCTGGTAGAAGAGTCAATCTAACTGTGGTCCTCATGAGAAAAACATTCTAGTGGAGTAGATGTGGAATCAGAAACACAAAATTTCATATATTCACAAAGCTAAAAATTCTCTTCAAGGCTATGGAAAAGTTCATTAACCTTCCTGAGCTTCAGGTTCTTCATCGGTGACATGATGGGACTACATTCCATAATCTCTATGGTTTGTTGCAGCGGTAGCATCCTGTGCTCCTGTCCTCAGTGGTACAAGGATACAAGAAGGAGCAATGTAAGTTAAACAATGGCCCGGAATGAAGATCTGGTAAGAGAATCTTTGTTTCCTGGGGAAGGTAGACTATGCACAGAAAAATTGCACCGCTCAGGGATGACTTGTGCGTGTTCAGAGCAGGCCAGGAATCCTTAGAAGTGCTCACTTAAGGAGGATCTTAAGGGATCTGTATTGATTTTTACCTCAGTTATCAGAAGGTTTTCTGGTTAAGTGCTTAAGGTTTGGGGAGATAAAAGAGGGATATGTAGTCTTTTGAAACTCTATCCCTCATGAGAATCCATGATAAGTTATTCCTCAGTGACAGATGAGCATTGGTGTCAATAAAGGCAAGTATAGACTTCATTCTTCAAGGGGAAGGATGATGAACAGTAATGACTAAGGCAAATTACCACGAGCTTCTTCTGGAATTCCTGGTTTTCATCCTTGAAGGAGTGCTCCATGAAGACTGCAATGGCTTCCCTCTCACAGGCCGCATGCACGTCCAGCAGCTCCTGGAGTGTGTCTGTGGGGAGCTTCACTCGCTGGGACATCTGCTGGCTGTAGTAGTCGGCTGCCCTCTGCATGGCAGCTGAGTTCTCACGCTGGGCCAGAGTTATCACTGCATTCTCCAGACAAGGCACCGCTCCACTGTTGATGGCATCTACGTAAGTCACTGCCAGAGTTCCTAGACCTAAATAGACCAGGAGATTTAGGAGCTAAATATGAAATGAAAGCTCAATGGGATCCTAGGCTACATTTCTGAGAACACACACACGCATGCACACACAGGCATGTGCACACATGCAAACACATACACCCACATCCCTACCTCCTTCTGCTATTATCACTTCTGTTTTCATAATGACTCTTCATTTTTATGGATCACCAGTCCACAGTGCTAAAAAAATTAAATATCTACTTTTATCTAACATACTAGAGGGTATACAGGAAGTACAAATTCTCATTTAAAGATTACAAGAAAAGTAGTTTACACAGATAAAATGATGCAGGACAAATCATATCGCATTTATTCCTAATTCGGAAGCTACAAATGTATTTTCAGGGAATTATGGGCTAATATTTGTTTATTTCTAGACTTTTTTTTTTTTTTTTGAAGCCCTGGCTGCAGTGCAGTGGTGTGATGTTGACTCACTGCAACCTCCACCTCCCAGGCTCAAGTGATTCTCCTGCCTCAGCTTCCTAAGTAGCTGGTACTACAGGCATGTTCCACCATGCCCAGCTAATTTTTGTATTTTTTGTAGAGATGGGGTTTCACCATGTTGTTCAGGCTGGTCTCAAACTCCTGAGCTCAAGTGATCTGCGTGTCTCTGCCTCCCAAAGTACTGGGATTATAGGTGTGAGCCACCACCCCCAGCCTTCTAGAGGTTTTTAAACTTCAACATATCTTTTGTATTCTCTTTGTAAAGAATATTGAACATATAGGACTTACCCTAAGAAAATATTATATGTCTGTTTTTATATTCAGTTAGTTATTTTATCAGCAGAGGATTTTTTTTTCAGATATGAGGAAGTCACAGATATCAGTGACAGAGTTTGCAATATTGTAGAGGAATTTGTAAATTGCAGTAAGTGTGATAATTATACACATTTCTTCATTGAGTGTGGATACCTGTATACACATAGTTCTATATGGAATCTAACAAAAATTCTGAGAAACACATTATACAATATATTCAACACATATGAGGCACCACAGAAATGTAAAAAGGAGACTCACGATTCCCAGTGACTGTGATTCCCTCCCTGAGGGTCTTGGTTCTTGCATGCGTGAAGATGTAAGAACGGAAAATGTTTGTTTGTTCCTGGAATTTGGGATCCAGTTGCTTTTCTGACACCTTCTCGATATTGGCTAGAAGGTCTTTGTCATGTGTTGGCCGATCAAAGACAAAACACTTCCGTTTTGGAAAGAAAAGCCTGATGCACTCCCTGGGCAAATTGGATGTTTGAACTTTGGGATTCTTGCCTGAAGGATAAGAAAAATGGAGAATATAGTGACAACAGTCATGGTATAAGGGAGCTAAAGGTATTTTTGACAGGGTTTATTGTCTTTTTGCCATCTTCTAGGCTTACAGACCTCCTTTAACATAAACATTCAAGCAAAGCGGTCTAACACAGACATATATTTTTATTAGATAGGCTTTTCTTTGTAATTTCATGCCTAACAATTACCTGGTCAGTCATTTTCTAAACACAGAAAAGCAGAGGGGAAAACAGGGATCACAAGCATCTTGTTTTTAGAAAGTCTTAGCACCCATTGTAATCTGAATGCTAAAGTACTAATTGTACAAAGAACAAATCTGTCTTGAATAATTCATCCACACTTTAGACTCTACTTTTCTTAAGTGAACTAGGCTCCATTCCTAGAGCTTGTCAACATACCCCTCAGTCCCCATTTCTACAGACGTCAGTCTAGTCTCAAATACAAATGAAACCCAAGAGATGACGGGCAGTGTTTAGCAGATCACACACCCACTGGACCACCCACAACCCAGGCCACCTGCTGATACCTTGAATCAGCTTCAAGGCGTTCTCCAGGTACTCATCTTCTGTGATAGGGTCACCATTCAACTTCAGCTCCAGAGTGAAATCCCGTACAGTCCAAATAAAGTCTGGAAAGAAACTCACGAACTCTGTGGAATCTTCTACTCCATCAGGCCTTGGGTAGGACTTTGCCTTAATGAGTTCTGTGAGCTCCGTCACATAACTAGGACTTAGGTAAGGAAAAGCAACTGTCTGCCCACAATCCACACATTTCTTTTATAAAAATATTATAAACACTGTCTTTTGTCTTGGGTTCCCTGTGCTGCACCAAAGGTAATTAAATTAAAGGGAAGGAGGAAATGACTAGATCTCCATTCCTATAACGTCAATGAAACTTGGTGATTCTGTTCTGTTCCTGGAAGGATACTGCAGTTGCTCCAGGGCCTGGTAGTTGATGGTGCTCATGCTATTGTAGACGAAGGTGCTGCACAGGAGCACAGCCAGGGCAAAGATCCAGGAGTCATTCTTAGGGTCACCCTAAAAAGCACATTAGAGCAAAGGACTTAGGAGTGTAGTCTTTGGAAATTCACAGAGACATTTATTTTGTCAGTCTTTCATTTATGATTTCAGCTAATGTACTTGCTGTACAAAGAAGATAGACATGAATGTAAACAAAAGTTTGACAGTACAATATGTCTTCTAATCACAATTTCTTTTTTTTTTTTTTTTTTGAGACGGAGTCCTGCTGTGTCTCCCAGACTGGAGTGCAGTGGTGTGATCTCGGCTCACTGCAAGCTCTGCCTCCCCGGTTCAGGCCATTCTCCTGCCTCAGCCTCCCATAAAGGTGGGACTATAGGCGCCCACCACCATGCCTGGCTAATTTTTTTTTTTTTGTATCTAATCAAAATTTCTTTACATATAAAATGATTCTTATCTTCATAGGGTTTTTCTTTTCCTCAGTTGGATGAAATAAGATGCATATATGGAAAAACTAGTAAAATATCTGGTTCTCAGTTGGATATTCATGATGAGTGTTAACACTTCTTCAGTCTAAACATATTTATTGGCCATGCATCATGTAAAAAAACCATACCATAGTATACATAACTGGGGATTGTAATTATATTCAATTAAATTCAGCAAACATTTATAGGAAACTGAAGAATGTTTCTCACTGTTCTAATGTTTAGGAAAGCAAATTTAATAAATTTACTCTCAAGATGACTATTTCGAAGTTGTGACAAACATTCATAATGATGAATCCAATAAAAATGACAAAATTTTTAAAGAGATAACATCTTAGTAATGTACATAAGAAGTGGAATCCATAGCTATAATGTTAAATTAAAAATTACAAGTCTATCCTAGAAGATAAGAGCTATGAAAATTGAAGAAAGTGTATGTGGTATGAAGGCTTCCTGGAAGTCATGAGCCAAATGTTAAAGAATTGATAGAATGTGGATTTGAAGAAATGAAGGTGATTCTGCAAGTAGAAAGACCCACAGAAACAAAATTAGAGATTGTAGATTTCAGGAATCTTTGCAATAAGAATAGAGTTTATTGGTTTGACTGAGCACAGGGTAAGTGCAGAAGATAAGACTGAATAGGGAGCTAAAGTACCTGGTTGATTAAAGGCACTAAAGGTCAGGCTAAATTTGTTTTTATAAATCAGAGCATGTCTAAATTATAGATAGTCCAGGAATTATTTCTACCCTAAAAAGCACGTGTAACTGTTTCCTAAAGCAAATATAAAAATTGAGATCTAGAGATTTCTACATGATTCCAGAAGATTCTATATGAAATTTTGGAGGTAGGAAGAATAGCCTATTCATTACTTTATGCCCAACAATCCCTAATTTTAAAAAAAGTAATCAATGAGGATTCTTCTTAGAAGTGGGACTCGTGACAAACAATAAACTATTTAGACAGGAGTATATTACTGTTTGATAGATGACTTTAGAGTACCTATAAAAATCCCAAAGGCATTTTGTTTATTATTATTATTTTGTAGAGATGGGCTTTCACTATGTTGCCCACGGTAGTTTCTAACTCCTAGCCTCAAGCCATCTCCGCTGTCTCAACCCGACCCCAATAATGTTCTTAAATAAATATAAAAAACAATCCTAAAATTAACACAGAATCACAAAATGCCCTGAATAATCAAAGTAATCTTGAACCAGAAGAACATAGCCTGGGGCATTATATTTCTTCATTTCAATATATATTGCAAAGCCACAGTAGCCAAAATAGTATGATACTGGCATAAAAACAGTCATATAGATCAATGGAACAGAATAGACAATGCAGAAATAAATGTATACATCCACAGTGAACTCATTTTTGACTAATGTGCTGAGAACATACATTGAAGAAACAATGGTCCCCTCAATAAATGGTGCTGGAAAAACAGATATCCACATGTATGCAGGAGATCTATATTTGATCCCACTTACACCATACACAAAAACTACTGAAAATGGATTAAAGACTTAAATGGAAAGCTAGAAACTGGATCCAGAAATCCCACTACTGTGTATACATCCAAGGAAACTGAAGTGACTATGTCAAAGAGAGATCTGTTCTTTTATATTTATTGCTTACTATTCACAATAGCCAAGGCATGGAGTCAACCTGTTTCCATCAACAGATGAATTAATTTTAAAAACTGTGAAATCTATACACAGTGAAATACTATTAAGCCTCCAAAAAGAAGGAAATCCTGTCATTGGCAACAACCTGGAGGAATCTAGAGGATGTTAAGCTAAGTTAAATAAACCAGGCACAGAAAGGCAAACACTGCATGATTTTACTTATATGTGAAATCTAAGAGCTGAACTCATGGCAGCAGAAAGTAGAATGATGGTTACAAGGAGCTAGTGGAGAGGGGAAAAGGAAAGTTGGAAAATGTTAGCTAAAGGATACAAAATTTTAGTTATATAGAAGAGGGGAAAAAAAAGATATGAAGCCATAAAAATACCAGAAGAATACACAGGGAAAAAACTTGACATTGCTTTGGGCAATGATGTTTTTAGATACGACACCAAAAGCACAGGTGACAAAAGCAAAATTAGACAAGTGGGATTGCATCAAATTAAAATGCTTCAGGTAACAAAAGAAACAAGCAGCAGAGTGAAAATGCAACCAAGGGAAAGGGAGAAAAATATTTGCAAACCATATATTTGATAAGGGGTTAATATCCAAAATATATAAGGAACTTATATAACTCGATAGCAAATAAAACCTCATACCTCATTAAAAATGAACAAAGGTGCTGCAATAACTTGCGTGCATGCGTCTTTATAATAGAATGATTTATGTTCCTTTGGGTATATACCCAGTAATGGGATTGCTGGGTTCAATGCTAGTTCTGTCTTTAGCTCTCTGAGGAATTGCCATACTGTCTTCCACAATGGTTGAACTAATTTACACTTCCACTAATGGTGTAAAAGCCCACAGCCTCACCAGTATCTGTTATTTTTTGACTTTCTATTAATATCCTATTCTGACTGGTGTGAGATGGTATCTTACTGTGGTTTCCATTTGGATTTCTGTAATGATCAGTGATGTTGAGCTTTTTTTTGGTATGATTGTTGGTCACCTGCATGTCTTCCTTTCATTACAGCACTATTCATAATAGCAAAGACATGGAATCAACCTAAATGCCCATCAGTGATAGCCTGGACACATAAAATGTGGTAAGTAAACACAATAAAACACTATGCGGCCATAAAGAAGAACAAAATCGTGTCCTTTTCAAGGACATGGATGGGCCTGGAGGGCATTATCCTTAGCAAACTAATGCAGAAACAGAAAACCAAACACTGCATGTTCTCACTCATAAGTGGCAACTAAATGATGAGAACATACAGGCACATAGAGGGGAACAACACACACTGGGGATTATGGGAGGGTGTGGGAGGGGAAGAGGGAGAGAAGCAGGGAAAATGACTAATGGACACTAGGCTTAATACCTGGGTGATAAAATAACCTGTACAACCGACCCCCATGACATGTTTATCTATGTAACAAACCTGCACGTCTTGCACATGTACCCCTGAAGTTAAAATAAACATGAAAAAATGAGTAAAGAACCTGAATACACATTTCTCAAAAGAAGACATACCAATGGCCAATATGTATATGTAAAGGTGTATAAAATTACTAATTATCAAGGAAATGCAAATTAAAACAAAAATAAGATATCACCTGACACATTTAAGATGGCTATTTCCAAAGGAATTAAAAATAACAATTATTGGCAAGAATATAAAATAAGGGAACATTTGCTGTTTTTTGGAGTGTAAATTCATGCAGCTATTATGGAAGAAGTATGGAGGTTCCTCAAAAAATTAAAAATAGAACTACAATGTGATCCAGTAATCTTACTTTTATGTATAAATCCAAATGAAATTAAATCAATATTTTAAAGAGATATCTGTACTTTCATATTTATATTTACATATGGAAGTATGAATATTTAAATATATCTGTAATAATTGCAGCATTATTCACAATAGCCAAGATATGGGAACTACCTGAATGTCCATCAATGGACAAACAGAATAGAAAACACAGAGTACATGTATATGCATTGTATTAGTCCGTTCTCATGCTGCCCAATAAAGACATACCCAAGACTGGACAATTTACAAGGGAGAGAAGTTTGACTCAGTTCAGCATGGCTAGGGAAGCCTCAGGAAACTTACAATCATGGTGGAATGGGAAGCAAATACATCCTTCTTCACATGGTAGCAGGAGAGAGAAGAATGATAGCCAAGTAAAGGGGGAATCCCCTTATAAAGCCATCAGCTCTCATGAGAACTTACTCACTATCATGAGAATAGCGGGGGGAAACCACCCAAATCATTCAATTACTTCCCACCGGGTCCCTCCCACAACATGTGGGGATTATGGGAACTACAATTCAAGATGAGATTTGAGTGGGGACACAGCCAACCCATCCATAGCACGCATATATGTATTTACTGAATATTGAATATTATATATATAATATATATTCAATCTCAGAAAAGGGAATTTTGTCATTTGCAACAACATAGATGAACACTGAGGTCATTAGGCTGAGTGAAATAAGTCAGACATAGAAAGACAAATACTGCATGATCTCACTTATTTGTGGAATCTAAAATAGTCAAATTGTCAAACTCATAGCCGCAGAGTGGAATAGTGGCTGCCACGGGCTGGGGATGGGAGAAATGAAGAAATGTTAGTCAAAGAGTATAAAATTTCAGTTATGCAAGATAAATAAACTCTGGAGATCTACTGTACAGCAGTGTGACTGTAACTAACAATACCATATTGATTGTGACCTTAACTTCTGCTAAGAGGACAGATCTTAATTGTTCTTACCACACCAAAAAATAAAAAAAGGGCATAGAAAAAAGAAAATGATAACTATGTGAGGTAATGGCTATATTATTGGCTTGATTGTGGTGATCATTTCACAGTGTATACACATATAAAAACATCAAGTTGTACACCTTAATTATATACAGTTTTTATTTGTCAATTATACAACACTAAAGCCAAAAAATAAACAGAATTTCCAATGCCTGTTTGGGCAAAGATAAAGTGTATGTGTATAGAATTTAGAAAGTATTCCCAAATAAGTCTCAAACTAAGACAAAAAAAGAGAGAAATTATTTATTTCACCCATTCATAAGAAGCTAAACACCAAAAATTCATCTTATAATGTTTATTGTAGGAAGAACAAATACTTTTACATGAGGAGCACAATCAGAAGTGTCTCAAAGCCTTCCAGAATGCTCTGTGGGTAGTTGATGAGCTTCATCATGAGAAATATAAACTGAACTCTCTTAATTCCAACCCTCAAATGTACTCTTCACGCGGTAGCTCAGAAGGTGGGTGAGAGGCCTTTCCTCATCTCCTGAGACTGGAGTCAACACCTCTTTTCTTTCTTATCAAGGCACTGTTATACGCAACTGTACGTGGTGAAAGCTGTGAGGTGCTGCCTAGATCACAGGTGTCAGCTCTCTTAATGAGAAAGTTTTCCAGGACAGACTTCCAGTGATTGACCAGCACCAGGGATGAAGGCCTAGCACCCTTGTCCCAAAACATGATAACTCAAAAGGGCCATTCCAGCCACAGAGCTCCAGGTGGAATTGACGGAGGGCAGGGACTGCATTGCATTCCAATCTCCTCCCTCTCGGCAACCTGCTTCGTTCCCAATCACACTACACCCTGAGGGCTCTTTGTGGGCAGGACCTTTACTTTGTTCACCAATGTGTACGCTACTCAGCCCAAAGGCCTGGACCTCAACTGCTTAACAAGATTTTATGAAATTGAATCAAATCATTCACCACTGTGCCAAGAAATAAAAGAATGTTTTACCTAATATACCATGATATCTAATCTTGTCTAGAAGTGTGACTCAAACAGGTCAAAGTTTGCCTTATTCACTGTAGTTGGATTTCTAGTTTTCACAAATATATCACAACAATTAAATTACAAAGATCATGTCTGGAATAAAAAGAACCTGCCTATGACTCCCTGCCTTACCTTTTCTACATCGCCCAGACCCTCAGTGTCCAGAAGGACCAGGGTGTGGTTTGGCTTGGAGGGGTGGGGCACGCACCACATCCAGATGCCCTTGGTTTCAGACTGCACGGTGGAGCCCAGAGGGAAGCCTGCAGGGAAGAGGAGGAAGCTAAGCATGGGGACAGCAGAACAGCCAAGCAGCCCTGGGGCCATGGATTCAGACTGGTTCGATTGTAACTGCCCCAGCATACAAGATGGTGCTTTCTATATTTCCTCAAGAATGTCTCTCTCTGTGATTCATCTATTTCAAAAAGCAAGGGACATTAAATGTGAGAATGATGCCAAGAAAGCGCTCAAAATGGAGACGAAGAGGAATCCATGAATCAGACAAAATGGAGGTCACTGATAACAAGAACATCCTGAAAATGGTGGGGTTCAAAGTCAGACAGGAGTAGGTTTAAGAAAGACATGAGAAGCAAAATAATTCAAAAAAGCAGATTGAGACAATGTTTTTTGCATTGAAAGTGATTAAAGACAAAAACAAACAGAAAATCAAAACAAACAGGATTTGGTGCCCACGATGACATGTGAAATTCAGGAAGAGTTTTTAAGATGATACACCTTCAAACATCTTTGTATGTTGGTGGGAATATTACGTGAAGAAAGTAAAATATGTTATAAGAGAAAGGAGACACAATTATGGGAGCCCAGGTCTTCAATACACAAGACATGGGAGGATTCTGAGTACTAGTAGGGGAGATTTTCCTTAATGGGAATAAAGGAAAAAATATGGGGAAAGGTTACAGAAAGGTAGTGATTTGGTGGTTAGAATCAGAATGAGAAGGTTGGTTTATTGAAAGGAATTGGGTTCTCGCTTCACATGCCTAGGTTAGAGCATTAAGATACTGGAATCAAGCAATTGGCCTGTGTCCCAGGATACCACTCACCATGATTCTCTCCTGCCAGACGGTTCATCAAGTAGGATTTGCCTGTACGGTACAGTCCAACAATGGCCACCACCACCACTGGCTGAGAAATCTTGTCAAGAATCTGTATAGCTTGCTGGTTCACCAACAGCTTGTCATTGTTGTTTTCCACCAGGCAAATGGGGGCCAACATTTTGGGTCCAGATTCCATGGCAACTGCCGACCTAGAAGAGCCTCCCAGTAGAAATAAGGTTACATTCTCTGCCTCAGTAATGCAAGCACCCATAAATTTAGGACTGATAAGACTTTTGCATTTCTTTGAGACAACATGTAACCTAGCATTAGCGAACTACAAAAGGCTTTCTCCATCATTCTCCCAAATCCGTAATGGTGTTAGCAATGAAACATAGTATATTATCATCTCCATAATTTTTCTTCAATAGCAATAATAAAACTCAAGTAATTGTTATCATAATAGGGGGTCTACAATAGTCCAAGCCCTGTGATGCCTGCCTTAAATATCTGACCTCACTGACACTTACAAGAACCTGCAAGTTGGAGATTATTATATCCCTATATATGTAAATGAGACAAATGAGTCTCACAAAGGCTGAGTACATAAGTCATAGAGCCAGGATTACAAACCCAGACAATTGCACAAAATGGCAGACTAAGGAGTTCCAAGTCCTTCTCTCTTGGAGACATCAAAAAGCAACTGAAAAAATGACTAAAATTGTCTTATAGAAGTTCTAGAAAACAGTCAAAGGTCTACAGCACCCAAGAAAATGTCCAGTAGAAAAAAAAAGGGCACATTCAAAATAGTAGGAAATTCCAAGGTGTTTCATTTGCCCTTTCCCTATCCACTCATCTCAAGGGCATGGTTGTGGTCTGGAGGAGGTGGCAGTCCAGTTTCCACTTCCCTTCCCTGAACTGAAGGGAGTAGAATAGACTTTATTTATAACCTGCTATTCTGACTGGGGGCTGTCCTTTCTAGTATATGTTCTGCCTTATTCAGATTTCCAGTATCAATGATTTCTTGTGCATGATACCAAAACCACAGAAAACTGAAAAAAAAAAAAAAAAGATCCACCACACTTAATCAAAATAAAAAACTTTTGTGCATCAAAGAGCACTGTCAATGCAGTAAAAAGGCAACCCATGGAATGGGAGAAAATATTTCCAAACCATATATTTGATAGACTATATGAAGAACTCTTACAACTCAACAGCGACAAAATCCCAATTGAAAATGCCCTGAAATGAACATTTCTCCCAGGAGGACCTATAAATGACCTTAATACACATGTGAAAACATGTGCAACATTAGTTATCACTGGGGAAATGCAAATCAAAACCACAGTGAGGTACCATTCCACAACCACCCATTAAGATGACTAATATTTTCAAAAAAAATTAAGCAGAAAACAAGTGTTAGCTAGGATGTGGAGAAATTGGAATCTTTGTCCATTGCTAGTAGAAATATGAAAGGTATTGCCACTAAGAATAAAAGTATGGTGGTGGCCCGGCGTGGTGGCTAATGCCTGTAAACCCAGCACTTTAGGAGGCCAAGGTGGGTGGATCACGAGGTCAGGAGATTGAGACCATCCTGGCTAACACAGTGAAACCCCATCTCTACTAAAAATACAAAAAATTAGCCAGGCATGGTGGCAGGCACCTGTAGTCCCAGCTACTTGGGAGGCTGAGGCAGGAGAATGGCGTGAACCCAGGAGGCAGAGCTTGCGGTGAGCCGAGATCACGCCACTGCACTCCTCCAGCCTAAGTGACAGAGCGAGACTCCATCTCTAAAAAAAAAAGTATGGTGGTTCCTAAAAAAAGATGAAACATAGAATTAACATCAAAATATTTCATTTCTGATTGGGGTAATTCCAAGATGGCCAAATAGGAACAGCTCCAGTCTGCAGCCTCCAGCATGATCAATGTAGAAGAGGGGTGACTTCTGCATTTCCAACTGAGGTACCTGGTTCATCTTATTGGGACTGCTTGGACAGTGGGTGCAGCCCACGGAGGGCGAGCCAAGATGTTGCCTTACCGGGGAAGCACAAGGTGTTGGGGGATTTCCCTTTCCTAACCAAGGGAAGCCATGACAGACTTCCTGGAAAAATGGGACACTACTATGCAAATACTGTGCTTTTCCCAAGGTCTTAGCAACCGGCAGACAAGGTTACTCTCTCCCGTGCCTGACTCAGTGACTACCACACACACGGAGCCTTGCTCACTGCTAGTGCAGCAGTCTGAGATCCATCTGCGAGACAGCAGCCTGACTGGGGGAGGGGCGTCCACCATTGCTGAGGCTTCAGTAGGTAAACAAAGTGGCCAGAGAAGCTGGAACTGGGAGGAGCCCACTGGAACTCAACAAGGCCTATTGCCTCTAAACTCCACCTCTGTGGGTAGGGCATAGCTAAACAAAAGGCAGCAGGCAACCTATGCAGATATAAATGTCCCTGTCTGACAGCTCTGAAGAGAGCAGTGGTTCTCCCAGCATGGCGTTTGAGCTCTGAGAACGTACAGACTGCCTCCTCAAGTGGGTCCCTGAACCCCATGTAACCTAACTGGGAGACATCTCCCAGTAGGGGCTGAGAGACACCTCATATAGGCAGCTGCCCTCTGAGACAAAGCTTCCAGAGGAAGGATCAGGCAGCAACATTTTCCATTCTGCAATATTTGCTGTTCTGCAGCCTCCCCTGGTGATACCCAGGAAAACAGGGTCTGGAGTGGACCTCCAGCAAACTCCAACAGACCTGCAGCTGAGGGACCAGACTGGTAGAAGGAAAACTAACAAACAGAAAGGAATATAATTAACATCAACAAAAAGGTCATCTACACCAAAACCCCACCTGTAGGTCACCAACATCAAAGACCAAAGGTAGACAAAACCACAAAGATGGGGAGAAACCAGAGCAAAAAGACTGAAAATTCTAAAAATCAGAGTGACTCTTCTCCTCCAAAGGATCACAGCTCCTCGTCAGCAAGGGAACAAACCTGGATGGAGAATGACTTTGACGAGTTGGCAGAAGTAGGCTTCAGAAAGTCAATAATCAGAAACTTCTCTGAGCTAAAGGAGGATGTTGAAACCCATCGCAAGGAAGCTAAAAACCTTGAAAAAAGATTAGATGAAAGGCTAACCAGAATAAACAGTGTAGAGAAGATCTCAAATGACCTCATGGAGCTGAAAACCATGGCACAAGAACTTCATGATACATGCATAAGCTTCAATTGCCGATTTGATCAAGTGGAAGAAAGGGTATCAGTGATGGAAGATCAAATTAGTGAAATAAAGTGAGAAAAGAAGGTTAGAGAAAAAAGAGTAAAAAGAAATGAACAAAGCCTCCAAGAAATATGGAAAAATGTGAAAAGACCAAATCTACATTTGATTGGTGTACCTGAAAGTGATGGGGAGAATGGAACCAAGTTGGAAAACGCTCTTCAGGATATTATCCAGGCAAACTTCCCCAACATAGGAAGGCAGGCCAACACTCAAATTGAGGAAATACAGAGAACACCACAAAGATACTTCTCAACAAGAGCAACCCCAAGACACATAATTGTCAGATTCACCAAAGTTGAAAGGAAGAAAAAAGTGTTAAGGGCAGCCAGAGAGAAAGGTTAGGTTACCTGCAAAGGGAAGCCCATCAGACTAACAACAGAACTCTTGGCAGAAATCCAATAAGCCAGAAGAGAGTGGGGGCCAATATTCAACATTCTTAAACAAAAGAATTTTAAACCCAGAATTTCATATCCAGCTTCCTAAGTGAAGGAGAAATAAAATCCTTTACAAACAAGCAAATGCTGAGAGATTTTGTAACCACCAGGCCTGTTTTACAAGAGCTCCTGAAAGAAGCACTAAACTTGGAAAGAAATAACCAGTACCAGTCACTGCAAAAACAGGCCAAATTGTAAAGACCATTGATGCTAGGAAGAAACTACACCAATTAATGGGCAAAATAACTAGTTAACATCATAATGATGGGATCAAATTCACACATAACAATATTGAACTTAAATGTAAATGGGCTAAATGCCCCAATTGAAAGACACAGACTAGCAAATTGGATAAAGAGTCAAGACCCATCAGTGTGCTGTATTCAGGAGACCCATCTCACATGCAGAGACACACATAGGCTCAAAATAAAGGGATGGACAAAAATTTACGAAGTAAATGCAGGGGTTGCAATCCTAGTCTCTGATAAAACCGACTTTAAACCAACAAAGATCAAAAAAAGACAAAGGAGGCCATTATGTAATGGTAAAGGGATCAATTCAACAAGAAGAGCTAACTATCCTAAACATATATGCACCCAATATAGGAGCACACAGATTCATACAGCAAGTCCTTAGAAATGTACAAAGAGACTTAGACTCCCACACAACAATGGGAGACTTTAATACTCCACTGTCAATATTAGACAGATCAATGAAACAGGAGGTAAACAAGGATACCCAGGACCTGAACTCAGCTCTGAAACAAGCAGACCTAATAGACATCTACAGAACTCTCCACCCCAAATCAACAGAATATACATTCTTCTCAGCACCACATCACACTTATTCTAAAATTGACCACATAATTGGAAGTAAAGCCCTCCTCAGCAAATGTAAAAGAACAGAAATCACAACAAATGGTCTCTCAGACCACAGTGTAATCAAATTAGAACTGATGATTAAGAAACTCACTCAAAACCACACAATTACATGAAAACTGAACAAGTTGCTCCTGAATGACTACTGGGTAAATAAAGAAATCAAGACAGAAATAAAGATGTTCTTTGAAACTGATGAGAAAAAATATGCAATGTACCAGAATCTCTGGGACACATTTAAAGCAGTGTGTAGATGGAAATTTATAGCACTAAATGCCCACAGGAGAAGGCAGGAAAGATCTAAAACTGACACACTAAAATCACAAGTAAAAGAACTAGAGAAGCAAGAGCAAACAAATTCAAAAGCTAGCAGAGGGCAAGAAATAACTAAGATCAGAGCAGAACTGAAGGAGACAGAGACACAAAAAACCCTTCAAAAAATCAATGAATCTAGGAGCTAGCTTTTTGAAAAGATCAACAAAATTGGTAGACCGCTAGCAAGACTAATAAAGAAAAAAGAGAGAAGAATCAAATAGATACAATAAAAAATGATAAAGGGGATATCACCACAGATCCTACAGAAATACAAACTACTATCAGAGAATACTATAAACACCTCTATGCAAATACTAG